TTAAATTCAGAACCTTTCTACTGGCCAGAAAGTAATGGTTCATGTTCAGATGTCTCTACCCAGGTTTTTCTTGTTTTAATCGTCCAGTTGGTCTTTAGTTTTCCAGTGGCAATAAGTCTTAAAACATCTTGACCTTGCTTTGAAGCTGTAGCAACCCTGTTTCTGCCGTTTGTTTGCTCTCCTGCCTGCTTCCTGGCCTGCAGTTTGCTGGGACTCTGTCAGTGAGTCAGATGTGTCGCTGAGCCATTTGGTTTGTGGCACTAAGCTTGGACCTGTAAACAATTCAGCAGGGCAGATAGCTGCCTCTCTCTTTGTTTTGGTTCCTTTGAAGGGGGTCAGTTCAGGGCGTGAGTGTCTGTGGGCCCCCATTCCCACCATCAACCCATCACATCTGGTGCAGACAAAGGGCCCATCATAATGGGTGGGTGGGGGCTGGGTGGGGAGTGTCATGACCTATGGAAATGTTTCCAGGACACGGAGAAATGAATTCTGTCTTTCTAGTCTCACATATGGGTGTCGGTGTTTAATGGGGGAGGGCGCCGTGTGAATGCCTGCTTATCAGAAACGTCTCAGCTGTTCACAGAGGCGTCCAGATGTCACAGCAGAGTGGGAGGAAATGCCTTGGGGGTGGGTGTTTGATTAATATCACCTGGTCCTCCCACACAGAGCAATATCCTTCTTTTTTAAAGAAGTTGGAGCTTTATCTTTAAGCTTCATGATTTTTTTTTATTGTATTACTGTATTAAATAGTTTTTAGTATTGGGAAGTGCCCCCACCAGCCATTCCTTCTAACTGGTGATGCCTCTGATGCAGTTTCTCTGAAGTCTGTCCAGCTGATAAACATAAGGCAGGTATGTGCAGGTAAATATAGAACCTGAATCTTCCCTCTGCACACAGCCAGGCAGCAGCTCCATCACTTTAACATGAAGAAGCTGCAGGAAAAGCTTTAGCTTAGATCGACCTCACCTGCAAAAGCCTGAGAAGGCGGCCATTGCTTAAAGCGCTCTGATGGAGCAAAGCTTCAGCACCAATGGCTAATGTTAAGAGGTGGAGAAGTTTGGAATCTGACTGACGTGAATACATGGCTGCAACCATGCTGCAGTGGAGGGGAATAATAGACAATCCTTCTGAACTGCTGAAGAAAGATTTGGTCCAATTTCAACTTTTCACACAAGTAGAAATCCATAAATGGCATCAAATGGGAGTGGAGCAGGTGTGGAAAGCAAAATGCTGCTTATTTCATAAAATATATACTGGGAAGATCTCTATGGTAAATATAAACATTTAGACGTTACCTGAGATGCTTGCATTAAATAAATGTATTTTTTTTATCCTTATTAAATGAATAAATATATTTCACTGTTTTAATGAACTGTGGGGAGGGGCGGCCTGGTGCTTAGGGTACAGAGCTGGAAACTGAGTTCCAGCCCCACTCCCACAGACTGCCACTGTGGGTCTCTGAGCAAAGACCCTTAACCCCCCAGTGCTCCCCAAGGGGCTGAGTTAAATGCAGAGGGAATTTTGTTGCTCTGTAGTTTTTTTGTTGTTGTTGTTTTCTCTCACTGTGTGTCTGTGTCAGACTGTGGCGGCCCAAACAGACTGTGGCGGGCCCCACAGTCTGTTTCATTAATGGGAAACACATTAATGGGAAACTCTGCTCTCGCTTCCAGAAAAGGTTACAAAACATTTTTGGGCTTCATTCTGTCCCGGAATATCAGCTGGCACGCTGTCAGCTGGCCTTCATATAACCATGTAGAAACATGCATGACTCATGTAATCGCTGCATTCCAGTGAGTAGATGTTAGTTGGTCATTGCTAATTATGATAAATGGGTAGCAATGTGTGCAGAAACAGTAGAGCGTGGGGATGTGAGAGCAGGGAGCCCCAAGAGATGAGTGAAATGAAAAGATGAGACTGTCTAATCTAATTCACTGTAGAGAGATGGTGAAACACAATGACCCTGGAAGCCAGCAATCAATATCAGCTTAACCAAATCAACAAACTCCCCTTAGCCTCCTGGAGGCGCTGCTCCCTCTAGAGGAAGTGCTCCTCGCTCAGCTGAGGAGCTGCTGCTCTAACGGGGAAATCATCAGTTAACATGTTGAAACAAGCCAGAAGCGCCGTTCTGTGTTTAGTCTGGCTGTCTGTGGTGTTACTCAATGTCTGAATCAACCACATCCTGTCTGACTGAACTCTGCCGTCTGGTCTCTCCTCTGTCACATCACGCCCTCTTGCTGTCATATGACCTCATTTTACAGACAAACTGCAGATTCCAGCTTATGCTGTTCCACTGATTTGGCTGCTGTCCTGTTTATAATTCATTTCATGACTGTGGCTCAGCAGTCTGCCGTCGTTGTTCTGCTTAAATGTCAGCAGAGGAAGTCCTGGTTGTCTGTCTGCTCAGATCTCGCGGTTTGCACATCAAATCAGAGCAGCGATTGATGTGATGTTATCTGTATGCAGAAATTACTAAAAGCTTCTTTAACTTTCATTCATTTATGCTTTTTTATGTATTTATTATACTTGTAGGTTTTTTCTGTGTATTTGATATTTGATTTTAAAAGAACTATACCTGAGTTACAATTAATTACTCAACTTGTTGATCATTATTTAAATAAAATTTAAATAATTCAATTCTAAAATTTAAATTGTGAATACAATAGTGCTGCAAAACCTCTATTTCTTCACTTAAAAATGTTCAAATGTCATGAATTTGTAGACTTACAGTATTAAACAATGTCTAACCTCTTAAAATCCACCTATTGCTGGCGAACGTTTTAATAACGTTTACAACTTATAACTCTGAACGCATTAAAATTCCACCGGTAAAATGTTTACCAATGTAGACATATTAGACATTGTTGGAAAGCTTAGATTCTCCACAATTCAACTACCAACATCATTTTATGGAGACAGCGAGCACCAACACAGTTAACACAGGTATAACAGCATGTCAAGATGTAAACAAACAAAGCAACCACAACTACCTTTTAAAGGCGTCCAGAAGCCGTTTTGTAAATCCAATCTTCAACTGTTTATACTCCATTCGTCCATAAGAGTCCACAGATTAAAAGTAATCCAGAATATTCATAATAAAAATATTCCATGATGAGAAAATCGCCACAAAGTCCGTTTGTTGACATCAGAAAAGTTAGCTGGTCATAGCTAACGCTTGGCCTCTTGCTAATAAGGCTGACTTCCTGACGGATTAGCTCGCAATGTTTGGTATGGTTTTTTTTTTTCTTACGTACAAGACGAGAGTATTTGCATCTTAGTATGCCTTGATTGAGTCAGGGACAGTCTCTGAAGTCTCACTCGCTCCTTGCCTGTCAGCCAATGACGCACCGAGTAAAGCGATATTACGCCTCATAGAGTCCTGCTGTTATTGGTTAAGACCATGTGGGCTGATTGGCTTTGTAGCAAATGAAATTAGGTTGAAATAAGGTTTCAAACAAACCCAGACATGACTGGGTTATATAAAGCAGTCTTATACAGTGGAACTAAAACAAAGCCTTGTTTTAGTTTAGAAAACATGCAAACTGAACCAGACGAACGGGTCCACCCCTTTAGAATGAAGGTCGTTTGGCTTCTTTTTTTAGCCTGCGATGCCCCATACCTGTCTGTCTCTGAATGGGGGGGTCATTAAAGGGAATTGTTGGCCTGGCTGAATAGGCGAGGTCGAGGCGATGATAGCAGGAAGGAATCAACTCAGCGCACACAGTGCAAGTGTCGCGCATGCGCAGTAGAGGACGCAATGACGTCACAGTCCAGCTTGCTCCATGTTTACGGAAGTGTAGTGCCAGCGCACATCTAGCCGTCTTTTTTTTAACCATAAAAACTCAATCTTTTCAATATGTTGAAACATAAATACTGCTCTCAGCATCATCATCTGCCATGGTTGTTGTTTTTCTTGCCGCGTCTGTGTAGCAAAATGCAGAATATTGACCTTTGTCGGGTATTGATGATGTTCAGGTCGGATGAATCCGACCTGGCCATTCAGACACGGGTCGCATTTGAAAAGATCAGATTTGTTTTGGATTCAGGACCACAGAGCCAAGTGGCCTGGGTCGGATTGGAAAAATCAGATCTGTGTTGTTCAGACTGTCATGAAAAGATCAGATCCAGGTCGCATGTGGGCAAAAAAATCAGATTTGGGTCACTTCAGGCTGCAGTGTGAACGTAGCCTATCTCTGCATTTTAGGTTTTTTAAAGCTGAAATCTGAGTCCCCCCCCTCTGTTTGAGGTTGGTTTTTCTTTTTTAACATAAATGGCTTCCTTCATGCCCCTCTCAAACCATCTATTTTCTTTATCCAAAATGTGAACATTCTGGTCCCCAAAAGAACGTCCTTTGTCCGTCAGGTGTAGATGTACCGCAGTCTCGTCCAGAGGAGGGCGCTCTTCTGTCTTGGCCCATGCGTCTGTGGAGAGGTTGTTTGCTTTCTCCAATATAAAGATCAGAGCTTTCCTTACTGCATTGAAGGCATTCGAACTGAGTTAGTCCGATTCAATTTGAATGTTTTCCGGCCTTTTTTATTGAAAAAGCTTCCTGGATCTAAAGAGAAACGTCTTCAACCTTGGAAGCAAAGTCCAGTGGATTGTTTTCTACCTTTTTTGGATTGACTATGACCTGGATGACTGAGAACCTTCAACAGCATATGTCCAAATGTTATGTTTTGTCTTAAGAGAATGCAGAAAAGAAAGCATCTGTTTCGGAGCGAAGATATCTTTTTTGTTAAATATATTTTAAAGCTTATGTGTTTTTGTTGATGCTTTTTGTATTTAAAGGTTCTTTGTAAACTCATAGCTTTAGGTTAAGAAGACAATTCTTCTTTCTGCTCCGTTTCATTCAGGAGTTTCAAATATTTGTCTTTGTTTACTTGTTTAGACAATAAATGAAATAACATTAAACTGGGTCTGTTATGTTCCTTTTAATAGTATTTGAAGCATTAGAAATAATGAGCGGCAGACATTTAACTGTGATGAACTTATTTCCTCTGCAGCCCTTCAGTGTTACTGTGATCGCTGCAGCACCAACTCCAGCTGCACCACGGACGGCATGTGCTATGTGGTCATCAAGAAGTCGGGCAACCAGCGGATCTCAGAGCAGCGGCAGTGCATCCCCAAGAGCGAACTGATCCCAGAAGACCGGCCCTTTGTCTGCGCTCCGTCTTCTAGAGGGACGACCAGCATCATCCCTATGTGCTGCTCCTCTGACTACTGCAACAAAGAGCCCAAAATCGAAGTCTTTCGTAGGTATCCACACCAACACCTCAGTTTGTTTTCAAGGTAAAACTGAAGCAGCCAAAGTACATTTAAATGATTTTTTTTTTTTTTTTTTTTTTTTTTTTACAAATGTACGCCATGAATAAAAAGGCCTATTTATAAGGGCTGAAACAAAAGATGCTTGGAGCCGGCCCCTTATGGGATTGTAATTCCCTGTAAAACTCATAGGTTCTAGGTCTGGAGTTTGATCCAGATATTTTCTCACTCTTCTCATTATTTTCATCAATTTACATTTTACATTGCAACCAGGGGTGAGTTTCTTCCTGAAGAAACTGGAAGAAAGTCCTGGTAATAGATGATATTTTCCAGAACTGGGATGGATCCATTGAAAAGTCAACTCAAGCCCCGTCACACCTTGACCATTTAGACAGCGTATGCCTGACATACAGAAAATCCGTTCAAAACGCTGGCATACGCTATGGCTACATTTAGCATAAGCTATGAGTACGCTGACACACGTTGACATATGCCGAATATGTTGAGAGTATTCCAGCGTATACGTTGGCCGTCAGTTCCAGATAAGTTATCTGATGGTGGACATACGTTAAGTGTAAGTTACTCATAAGTCGTGGCATCCAGCTTATGCTAAATCTCTGAGTAAGTTGTGCATAATTTTCTGCGTAGCTTATCAAGAACTTATCTCCAACCTACACTACCGTTCAAAAATTTGGGGTCACATTGAAATGTCCTTCTTTTGAAGGAAAAGCACTGTACTTCTCAATGAAGATAACTTTAAACTAGTCTTAACTTTAAAGAAATACACTCTATACATTGCTAATGTGGTAAACACATTAGCAATGTATAGAGAACAGCACAAACAGGCTCTAACCAGAGTAGAAAAAGAAGTGGGAGGCCGCGTTGCACAACTGAGCAAGAAGATAAGTACATTAGAGTCTCTAGTTTGAGAAACAGATGCCTCACACGTCCCCAACTGGCATCTTCATTAAATAGTACCCGCAAAACACCAGTGTCAACATCTACAGTGAAGAGGCTGCTGCGGGATTCTGGGCTTCAGGGCAGAGTGGTAAAGAAAAAGCCATATCTGAGACTGGCCAATCAAAGAAAAAGATTAAGATGGGCAAAAGAACACAGACATTGGACAGAGGAAGACTGGAAAAAAGTGTTGTGGACGGATGAATCCAAGTTTGAGGTGTTTGGATCACAAAGAAGAACGTTTGTGAGATGCAGAACAAATGAAAACATGCTGGAAGAATGCCTGACACCATCTGTTAAGCATGGTGGAGGTAATGTTTACATCAAGGTATCTGACGTGTTCCAGATGAGCTCTGAACGTGTTTCTAACTTCCAGCTACTGTATAATGGCGTATTGGCAGCGTTTTGGTATAAAGAGGGTTCACAGGAGGAAACCATCAGTTCTCCTCCAGACTTCATCCCCATCATAGGGTGAGCCAGAAGGTGAGGGTGATGGATCCTCCCTGTGTTCACGCCCACTACGAACAAACTTCCTAGCAGACATGACGCTGAATCTGCTGCCACCAAAAACCTTCTTTCTTTTTTCATATTTATTTTTTTCCTGAGTGGCCAATAAAAAGCAGCTAGTTAATATCACGACCAAAGACATCTTTGTTACAGAGCGGGCGCCTCCTGGAGCATTGCTGCTCCTGAGGAGAGCAGCTTTAACTGATGCAGAATAACGCCCATGAAACGATGCACAAGCATCGTTTCATGGGCGTTATTCTGTTACGCTGCCGTGCGTTATGCATAAGTTAGGCTGTTTTGGGACATAAATTCTGGACTTGTTATGGTTACTCTGTATATGCCCTTAATTGAAAAAATGCATAGAAAGTTATGCCTTAAATGAGAAAAAAAATACACAGAAAGTTCAGCGGATGCCAGCATATGAGAAGATTCTGGGACATCAGGCCTACGCTGGATAAATCGGCCAAGTGTGACGGGCTTCGATGTGTCCACTGGGCTACACGAGGAGGACTCTTTATGAGAAAACACAGTGACACAATGTACAGAATTTACACCATTTATTAGGTGGTTTTAATACAAATCTAGATACATGAGTAACTATTGATTAAAAAACTTGTAAATTAACAACCGTGTTGAAACACTGGTTTAGCACGGTGATCATTTACTATTAACCTTCAAAACGCTTCCTTGTATACTCAGATTCCAGCTGGTTTTCTTTCTTTTTAATTTCTTCCGCTGTTTCTGTCACTAAACCCCCTGGTTTATAGATATTGAATCCAGTTTCAAGGTTATTATTGGATTTGAACCTGCTTAAGGCAAAATATTCACCAAAACAAACTAAACTTTCCAGGAAATTTCACCTTCAAAGTTTCTTCTGAAAGAAACCGTTTCTTTCTGTTGTAAAAAAAAAAAAACATTTGAAAAATAAAATAAAATAAAAATAATAAAAAAAAAACACCATCCGGAAGAAAGTTCCTACTCTGATTGTAAATCTGTATTGGAAAACAAATAAAATGGATGGAAATGTTCCTTTACTGTCTGAACAGTTGTACTAAGTGACATCTTTATAAAATATAATGACAATAAAGATCGTGTAAGTCTAACTCTTTAGTTCACAAACTCTGCGGTGGGCCTTTAAAGTATGAGTAATTCCATTTTTCTTAAAATGAATGTATTTTCCCTTTAGTTTCAGCAGTTTAGATGGTTTACATAGGAAATTAGAAAGAAACATCCACATTAAATGGTTTCACATGAATAATGTCTTAATATCCTAATTCCATTAGCAGATTTACTCAAATCTTTACCAATATTTGAATAAATGTGCAGCATCGTTGTTATTTCATCTGCTCTGTTCTTTGTGTTGTGCAGCACCAGAAGAACAGCAGCCCCCAACCTTGGGGCCCGTGGCCCTTGCAGCTGTGATTGCTTGCCCAGTCTGTGTGCTCGGCCTGCTGCTGGTTTTGGCCTTCTACGTTTGCCACTACCAACGCGGTCTGGGTGCCGGAGGAGCGGGGGCCCTCCACCACCGTGTGCCTAATGAGGAGGACCCGTCCATGGACCATCCCTTCATCACTGTTGGAACCACCCTCAAAGACCTCATCTATGACATGACCACCTCAGGCTCTGGATCCGGTACTGTTTGCTCTTTATACCCTTGGCTTTTTCTGAGATGGTGCATTTGACAACATAACACTTTCAACATTGTGTGTAGACCTGTTATTGCTTCCATATGTGTCTGAAAAGGCAATAATTGAAGTGTTTTCATGTCTTTCCACTGGTGTGGAAGAACAGCGCCGCCCTTCTGGCTGCTTTTATGTGCAGAAAGAAATAAACAGTTTGTTTTTCTTTCTGTTTAAATTTTTATTAAATTCTGTTCATTTCATCAATAAATGCCGTCTTCAGGCACCTAAGGGAAAATAGACATTTCTAGTCATCCTAGTTATCAAACAACAGATTTGAGCCTCAAAGCAAGAGGGACAATCGTTTTCAGTCGTTTTCCACAATGGCGGTCATACTAACAAAACAAGGTACCAAACAGGAAGTGTAGGGGTGGATGTAGATCTGACCAATCAGAGGCCTCCTGTCTGCGGATACTTACAGTATTGGAGAGGTGCAGCAGAGTGTCTGCGGAGGGGGGGGGGCATATCTGCGTTCACTGCGACACACGCAGACGACCTGGTTTCTGAGTATAAATCGTCAAAGTGACGTAGTGGGCTTAAATACCTAATAAGCATTGATGATTAAATGTTTATTTAACCGCAGGGCATCCTGGAGAAAATGACACTATGTCAGAAATGTGATTAATCTGCTGTAAAATATTTGATGCTTTAACTTCCATTACAGTATTAATGTATTGTAATGGAATTGTAGAAATACAATGCAGAAATCTGATTTTTGATGCTAATTTTATGTTAAAGGTTTAAAAAATGGAATCTGCATAATAGGACTTTATTTAATTTCAAACCTCCATGTGGAAATTAAATGCAGTCTTCTTCAAACCATAGTAACAATACAATAGTCTTTCCCCTCCTTATTGGGGCAATGGTGAAATAAAAGGCAGCCTATAACAGCAGCCTTTTAAAAAGGCAAGGAAGTAGGCTAAGTAAAGAAAAATACAAATATTAATTTAATTACAGGTCACCCACTGGTTTGTGAAACGTGTTTTAAGGCTACAATGCAAATCTTTGCTGATAGAAATCTTGACATTGGTTTATTAATTGTATTAAAGTTTAAAATAAACAAACAAGGAAAAAAATCCATCTTTTTTTGTACATTTCATACATTTTTAAAAAAACTCCAGGGAGCCACAAGGGGGCACTAAAGAGCCCCGTGTAGCTGTGGAGCGGCCGGTCGTTGACCCCTGAGCTAAGGTAATGCCATTAGTTTATCTGCATAGGCCAGTTAAATGATTCCCAGTTAGTGAAGCAGTTTCTTCTCAAAGGAAAACTTCTGCTTTGCCTGATTGAAATGTTAGCTTCTGTGTTTTCATGCCATGTAGGCGCCTTCCTGATTAGATTCCTAGATCTGGAATGCCAGTAGGGATGTCGGCCATGTTTTTCCCCATGTGCTGTCGTCTGTGTGGGTGTTGGGTAGTGCTGACTGACTCACAGCCGCTTTTCTGTTGAAAGCAGAACATCTGTCTGGTTTTCTCGTCAGCTGTTTTTTCTTCTAAAGAATAATAAAAAAAATTGTTTCTTGTCATTTTTTGCAAACCTTTGCAAATATTTCTGGATTTGCAAATGTTTGCAAAAAATGACTGAGTCAATGTGAAACTATTTTTTTTAATTCTTTAGAAGAAAAGAAGAAAAGCACAGAGCCTACAAAAAGCAGAAACCCCTAATCACAGTGGAAGGTTTTTATCACGCCTGTTCTGTTTGTAATGGCTTCATAATTAAAAGAAAAGAACAAAATTAAAAATGTTTTTCAGCTGCTGAAGATCCCCATTCTTCCAGGTCATTGTCATTCCAAATAAAGAAAATTAAAAACATATATATATATATATATATGTGTGTTAGAACTGTAAATTTTACAGTCATTTTCGCTATTTTTCAAGGCTGCACTGTACAACGATGAAATTGTCCAGTGAGCTGTTTCCAAATGAAATTTCTTTTTGTTTTACACTTGAGTAAACAAAATGAAAAATAACATCTGTCTAACGTCTACTAATTTCAAAGTTTCCATGTATAAATTATAGGGAATAAGATTAGTGCCTTAAACTCTGAGATGACAAAGAAAATCTACCAAGATTTCCAAACACAAAAAACCAAACTCAAATGGAAACGTTGCTTTTCTCTGCCCAGCCTTCCTGTTATCTGCTAAACATGTTATCTTACATTTCCCTTTAAAAGCACATTGTTCAGTTTTATTCTTCGCTTTTTTCCCCCAAGATCTTTCAGAAACATTTCAACTCTTTTTATCGCGGTATTTTTTTCCCTACAACATCTATGGATGAGCAGAATCAAAATTATTCTATTAATCCTGTGGGGGAAATGTGTTTCTAGTAGAACAGAGTACAATATAATACACCCCTCCATTATAAAAGTTAGATATAAGAATGAAATAAGGTAAACTAAGATCTCAGCATATACAATCAAAGTAATAAATGGCCAACTCCAAAAACCCACAGAAGAGTGTTAGTTTTGGATTTAATGTGGTTCATTCACATCGATCAAATGAAATGGAAAAGAGGGGAAAAGGAAAAGCATCATTTTTTGGTGTTTTCAACCATTTCAGACTTTCAGGGAAGACATTGGATTCAGCTTTCAACCTCCTGTATATCAGTTATTCAGTGGAAAACGCTGAATGGGTTCGGCTGGAAGTGCTGAACCTGTGTTGTTGTCGCTAATAGAACTGAGTTAGGTTTGCGTTTAGCTGAAATTTAATGCAGACGAGGAAGAAACTCTGAAAGCTACATTTTCAATTACCCTTAAGTCATGTTTTAACAAAGTTTCATTTTATGTAAATATTTGACCACATGTGCTTTTTCCTGTCTACATCTGTAGAATACAGTGTAACTGAACATTTCCCAAAAAGAGAAGTTTAGCTGGTCACAGGGCAGAGGGCTGTCGTTCAGCCGGCGTTGACTGGGAAAGGCCATTTTGAATGGCTGCTTCTGCACTCCTGGGAGTCCCAGGTTGTGCTGTGTGCCTCTAGGGCAGCTTACCTCGCCTCTGCAGGGTTGGAACACAGCTGCTGTGCTCTGTTGGATTTCAATCAGACTAAGTGTCCTTTTCAGGGTTGAGGTTCTGCCTCAGAACCTAAGCAGAACCCTCTCTACTCTCTTCATGTCTGATTCTGGATTTCCAGCAGCACAGCAGTGATGGTCTGACGTCTTCCTTTTTTGTTCTTCCCATTTCCTTTCAAGGCCTTCCGCTGTTAGTCCAGAGGACCATCGCCAGAACCATCATCCTCCAGGAGAGCATTGGAAAGGGGCGTTTTGGGGAAGTGTGGCGGGGAAAATGGCGTGGCGAGGAGGTGGCAGTAAAGATCTTCTCATCTAGAGAGGAGCGCTCCTGGTTCCGCGAGGCTGAGATCTACCAGACTGTGATGCTGAGGCATGAAAATATCCTTGGCTTTATTGCTGCTGACAACAAAGGTGAGGAAAACAGCAATGTGTATCTAAATTGTCTTTATGTTCATAAAAAACAGCGTGCGATGAGATCCCGAGCGCGCCTGGGAGGAGCTGGTGTGCGCAGAGAGTGATTTTCTCCTCTCGGAGCGGCAGCTTCTCACGCATGTGTTTTGTTGTGCGATGGTAGATAAACTATGTGCAGAAATAGTTGAACATGTATAGTATGCTTAATTTGCTTGTGGGCATTTTGAAATAAATGTGACGCCATTTTATTTAAACCCAGTTATTCATCAAACAGGAAAACACAACATAGACTCACCATAAGAGCTGAAAATAAAAAATTATTCCATTTACATATGACCGCAATTCTCATTTAGCCAACCAAACCATAAAGGATGAATGCCATTAATTCAATTTAATTCCGTTTATTTATATAATTCACAAAACATGTAATTTCAAGGATCTTTACAGAAATGATTCAACCAGATCATCCAGTCAGATTGATTCTAAGGAAAACCAGTTGATTGCATCGACAGATTGACTCAAATGTTCTCCCATTAGCTAGCTTTAAACTTTGTTTGCATACAAAATACAAACTTATATTCGCCCAATACTGCAAAATTATACCTGCTCTCCAAATAAAACATGCATGGAAACCTGTAATGTCCTTTAGAAAGCCAAAAATAGAAAGGCATACCTTCAAAATAAAAGCTCCATAAACCCTGTTCCACGTAGTTACGAACATTAGATGCCAAAAAAAAAAACACTGACAACAAACAAATAATATATAAAAAAGGATTCCTGAGTTGCGTCAGTTATAACAAAATAATCTGCGTCATTAGAGGAAGTAAAAGACGTCTTTATGAAACCATTTTAGGAATCAGAAGTTGAAGTTTGATTTCTAAAATCCTAAAAGCAGCGGTCACATAGAACGCTAATTTAACCATTGTTTTTTAGGCTAACTCTGGTCCCTCCGCCATAGTCTTGATTTAGTCCAGGAATAGTTGTAGGAGTAATTGGGCTGTTTGTTCAGTCCAATATCGTCCCACTTTAATCCAATAATAGACGTTTAAAATACTTTAAAACCCGGTTTTAATGGGGTGATAGAATGATTCTATAGGGTATTTGATGCTGGTCCTTAAGGTCTCTGAATAGGGTTTGTAACATTGGTTGGGCTGAAAACATCATATTTGCTGATCTATGCTCCCTAATGAAGCCTGGTTAAAAGCCCTAGAATGAAATGACAGGTTTTCTTCCTTTTATGGTATGATCGTGAATATTTAGATGAGCTGTGCTCTGATTGGTTGGTTTACAACGAGCGAAGCTGCTGAGCAAAGACGTATCATAGCAACAAGCACTCACTCACTGAAACATCAAATTGTTGATCAGGTAGGGAGGTAGGGTGACCAGCCGTCCTCTTTTTCCCGGATATGTTCTACTTTTCATTCCTAAAAAAATGTCCGGGGGGAATTTTAAAATTGTCTGGGATTTTGGTCGACTACAGTGCAGCATGTAGACGAAACAGGGAGCCAGCGGGGGAGAGAGCGACCAAACCCGACCCGGTGACTGTAGCCGCGGCCCCATGTAGCACGGCTCACCCAGAGGCCTGAGTCATCAGTGTGGCCATCAGGGAAACGTTCCATCCTGAGGTGTGCT